TATATATATATATATATATATATATATATATAGTTTAACTATATATATATATATATATATATATATATATATATATATATGCAATTATTATTATTATTATTATATATATATATACATATAAATAAATATATGAAAATGTATACATGCATGTCGTAGTAGGCAATAATAGTGATGAGAAATTTACAAATCAAACACTTAATTAATCAATAAACTAATTAACTATATAATTAATTAATTTAATTAATTAATCCTTAATTGTATGAAAAAAGTATTGTAGCCAATATATATACCTCGTTACGTATGGACATTCAACTATGATAGAAAGAATGAGGCGAAAGGGATAGGGAAAGAGAAAATCCTATGAATTTAATGACGAACGAATGACCATTGAACATTAAAAACAATATAATAAAAATAATATTAATAACACAAATAATAATAATAATAATTACCATAATAATAACAATAACAATAATAATAATAACCATAATAATAATAAAATAATAATAATAATACTGAAATATTTGAATCAAATTCAATGGGCAATGATGATAAGGATTTCTATAACAAATAAAATCATCTGACTATATGCGGTCCCATAATGACAGACCTAAAATATTATATATATATATATATATATATATATTTGTGTGTGTGTGTGCGTGTGTGTACATATACAAACATATATAACAAAAATTACAATGAAAATTTAGAGATAAATATATATATATATATATATATAAATGGGGTTTGTAAAAGCACAGACACAGACACAGACACACACACAAACAAACAATCACACACATAACACACACATACATATATTAAAACCAATGGATTGAAGCTAAATGCAAGTATAAAACAACTGAGAACAATGTAATATAATTTTTTTATTCGATTTCATCTTGATGATGATGATGGCGGTGGTGATGATGATGATAGCAGAAAAACATCATCATCACCTTATGAAATAGCACAGAGCTGTACGTAGCAATGATAAAAGGTTTGAAAAATAAATATAAATACATACATACATACATACATACACATACATACATACATACATATAAAATATATACAACTGATTTAAATAAGTATAGACATCATCTATACATAAATATAGTTAATATTATTACATTAAAGGTTTAAAAACTATTACTATTAAAGTAAGAAACGGATTTTTACTGGTTTTAAAGCCTACAAATAACCGTGAAAGTGCGTATGTAAGTGCGTATGTATATGACAACACATCGCCATCACATACGTCGGCTTGATTGGTTCCACACGTAACATACCTCCGTAAAATTCCAAGAATCCCCAAACTTGTGTTTTTTGCACAGTTGGCCCAGTGCGGCCAACCGGAAAGACAACCCGAAGAAATGTAGACTCAACCAACCCAGACTTCTCTTGTCATGATGTACTATCATGATTTTGATAAGAATGTGGAGAAGGAAATGCAAGACAGCGGTCGATGGATTTAAAAGAACTCGAATCGCTGTCCTTGATGATAAAAGAAAACGCGACGTCCAGAGCAGCAGTGGCATGGGAAGGTGGGCCCGTCAGTTTTGTTCACGGGGTGCCTATCAAGAATTGAACCCTTTGCTTACGTGAAGATCCACCGATGACGCAATCCGACGGTGCACTCCATATGTGTGTGTGTGTGTGTGTGTGTGTGTGTGTGTGTGTATATATGTGTATGTATGTGTGTGTGTACGTATGTATGTATGTGTGTATGCATGTGTGTATGCATGTGTGTATGTATGGTAAATATAAGCGCACGTGCAAATGAAATGAAACAAACGTTAATGAATGAATAAATGGATAAATGAATGAATTAATGAATGAACGGATGAATGAATGAATGGATGAATGAATGAATGAATGGATGGGTGGATGTAAGTAAGACATAAAAACATCTCACCTAGAAGACATAATCAGAAGAAGAAGAAGAAGAAGAAGAAGAAGAAGAAGAAGAAGAAGAAGAAGAATGATAGTAACAGAAAACCATACATTCTTAATCCTCACTGCTATCGTCATCGTCGTCCAGCATTAGCCAATAAATTCAAGTGATCCGAATAGAAATAAATATTTACTCATTATCTAACGTATGTGTGAATGTATGTTTATGTGTGTGTGTGTTTATGTGTTTCTCTGTGTGTGTATGTACGTGTGTATGTATGATTGTGGTATGTATTTATGTAGCAGACTAGCCAGGACAGCGGTGATGCAAGTGATGATACCCACGACAAATATGACATCGAGATATCAAATTCAAAATGATGTAGACGATGAGAATGATACAAGGATAGTAGAAAAAACTAATGATAGTATCAACAAATAATGATACTTAACTCTTAATATAACTTCAACACCTAACATTCATTGCTAATTAATTAATTAATTAAATAATTAACATTTTTGAAAATTCATCGTAATTAATTCATTGCAAACATGTCTATGAACATTCATTACATGGAAAGTAAAAACATTCCATTGTATCTGCTATGACAAAGGGAACTTAAACCACTTAAACCACACACACAAATTACTAACAGGAAGTTTTTTCGTTCTCCTCCCCTCCCCCACCCCCTCTCTCCCTCTCTCTTTCTCAATAAATATATATATATATATATACATGTATGTATGCACTCTCTCTTTCTCTTTCTCTCTCGCTCTTTCTCTCTCTCTCTCTTTCTCTATATACATTTACTGACATATTTATATATAATGAAAAAATTGAGATGAAATTAAAAATAAGTTAAGAAAAAGATAGATGGATATATATATATATATATATATATATATATATATAGAAAGGGAGAGAGAGAGAGAGAGAGAAAGAGAGAGAGAGAGAGAGAGAATAGAATGGATATCTCTAGTTATCAATTTAACATTTAAAAGTACGCATTTAAATTGAAATGAGATCAGAGAAATAATTGATAAAATTTAAATAAATAATAAAAACAACAACAATTATAACATTAATAATAATAAAAATAATGATAATGATAATAACAATAATAATAATGACAATAATATAAATGATAAAAAGTTGGAAAATATATGTAGGATGTATGATTGAAAAGTAAGACGTCGCTCATTGAGAAGCATATGGAATAGTTGACAAAAATGAATGAATGAATGGACGAACGAATGAATGAATGAACGAACGAATGAATGTATAAATGTATAAACAAACAAACAAACAAATGAGTGAATAAATTAATGAAAGAATAAAAACAAAAGATGAATGAATTTAAGTTAAGCCATTAGGTTATTGTAATTTACTTGAGAGTTAAGTGAGAAAGTTCATTGATATACGAACTAATTAATCAATCAGTTAAACCAATCAATCAATTAAACTAATCACTCACTCACTCACTCACTCACTCACTCACTCACTCACTCACTCACTCACTCACTCACTCACTCACTCACTCACCCAACCAACGAACCAACGAACCAACCAACCAACGAACCAACGAACCAACCAACCAACCAACCAACCAACCAACCAACCAACCAACCAACCAACCAACCAACCAACCAACCAACCAACCAATCAATCAACCAACCAATCAATCAATCAGTTGATTGATAAACCACGTAGCATGTTTATTTATTTACAAACGTTTAAAATAGGTTACCTTTAATAACTAGCTACCATCTATAACATATATATGTAAATATAAAGAAACGAACGCATGCACGCATACATACCTGGATAGGATAGAAAACTTCAATTCATTTGAAGCGTAAAAAATAGATATTCATAAAACCGACAGAATTAAGAGCTACACGAACGTAATGTGCCATAATTAGAAATATAAATAGTTTATTTTTATTTATTATTTTTATATTATTAATGTATTTATCCAAATTTACGTTCTCCTATCTATTCATCATCGCATCGTAATACTGTAGAGATGTCTACAATGGGACAAAAAAACCGCTTGTTTGTGTGCGCGTGTGTGTGTGCGTGTGTTTGTTTGTGTGAGCGTGTGTGTGTATGTGTGTGTGTAAGCCGGAGTCTGCATTACCTTTCCTATTACCGTGATATTCGAATTCTTCTTCATCTTCATCATCAGCCTGACAATCACCATCATCATCATCATCATCTTGGCGATCATCATCATCACCACCTCAAAGAAACAAACCACAACCACAACCACCATCATTATCATCATCATCATCATCATCATCATCATCATCATCATCATCATCATGACTCAACGAGTGATCTCAAGATTTTAAGTTCTCTAATTTTATCATCATCGTCGCCGTCATCATCGTCATCGGCTTTACTCACATAATCCTTATTAGGTCTACCTTTAACTGTCATCATATCATTGTCAGTTATCTTATCAATGCTATCAATGCTGATGTTGTTGCTGCTGTTGTTGTTGTCGTTAATGTTATTGTTATCACCTTGGTCAAGGCTGTTCCTATTAACAATAACATTAGTAATGTTGTTGTTGTTATTGCTGTTATTGTTGTTGCTGCTACTGGGGGCGTTGGATAAACTTTTCCCGCCGATGCTAGCCGCTCGTCTGACAACGGATCTCTTGGCGGTTGTTCGCGAGTCGCGACTTTGATCGCAACACGAGCAGAGGGCGTCGCAGAAGCCAGCGAAGCAGCCGGGCTCCTGTGGCTGCTGTTGAGATCTGACGCTTTGCTGTGTTGAGCTTGTTCGGTTGGCGGCTGTTGGAGCCGCTGCCGAAGTTGCTGCTGCTGCTTTGTCGTTCAATCTGATCCCGACTACCGCTGCCCCTGGGATAGCCAGGGATTTCATGGCGTGTGTTATCCTCTTCTGCTTGAAGAAGGAACCTGATTGGTTGGATGATTAGTTGGTTGGATGATTTTTTACTTATTAATTAAATCATTTCATTAAACTATTAGCCCATAAACACGACAATATAGATTTGTGATAAAAGTTTGTTGTGTTTATGTTTAATGAAATCAGTTAATCAATTGATTCAATCAATCAACCAATAATTCAATCAGTCAACCAACCAATCAATCAACCAACCGGATGTGATAAGATTTCCAAAGCCTTCCTGGTGAGAGAATGCGTAGCCACTCCTCTGCCTGACCATCAGGTTAGCCACAGAGGAGGCTTTGGGACCGCGTGTCAGGCGACTCAGACGCGCGTTTTTGTAGTGCGTTTCGCGCTGTTTCACTCGCGCTAGGTCTGTTAGTGTCGGGTTCTTATTCAACCTGTAAAATCTGTTGTTGTGGTTGTCCTAGTGGTTTATCACTGGAACACTTGCAACGCATCTATCAATCAATCGGCCAACCAACCAGTCAACCAACCAACCAACCAGCCAGCCAACCAACCAGTCAACCAACCAACCAGCCAGCCAACCAACCAGCCAGCCAACCAACCAGCCAACCAACCAGCCAGCCAGCCAACCAACCAGCCAGTCAACCAACCAGTCAACCAACCAGTCAACCAATCAGTCAACCAACCAGCCAGTCAACCAACCAACCAACCAGCCAACCAACCAGTCAACCAACCAACCAGCCAGCCAACCAACCAGCCAACCAACCAACCAGCCAGCCAACCAACCAGCCAGCCCACCAACCTACCTGAGAGAAACGACAGGAAGCAGAAGCATGGTGACGACAAGGATGAGCGTGAAGAAGAAGTTCGTCGTGCCCATGACGTTCTCGGACGTCCCTAGGTACGTGTAGTCGAAGAGTTCTGAGTAGAAGATGAAGGTGAACGCGAAGTAGAAGACGATGCTGCCCCATATCACAAAATGATTGAAACCTGTCCAGAACCAAGTGTCTAAGGCACACTGCAATAATCATCCAGATGCGAAATCATTTCTTCAAGCCAAACCAACCAACCAACCAACCAACCAATCAACCAACCAATCACTCAATCAGCCAACCGACCCTAAGTGTAACAGTAACAATGAGCGAACTAGCGACGATAGTGCCGAACGCCTTGTGGCCCCCGAGGTCTTGCCCGTTCGGTTTGACGGCGTTGTAGAAAGAGGCATAGGGGACGAAAAAGAGGACCAGCGAAGAAACCACCCCCTCCACTACACTCATGGCAAAAATTTTCTTGTTGAAGAATAAATTTTTATGGCCTGGCGTGTAGAGGCTTGGATAGGTCAGGCTGTAATCGTCATTAACGTCCTGTGTGCGTGTGTGTGTGCGTGTGAATGAAGTTGTGTGTCTGTGCTTCATTCACGCGTTCAATCAATCATTCCTTCATCCATTCGTTCACTCAATTCACTAACTCATTCATTCAATCAATCAATCAACCATTCATTCGTCATTCATTCAAATCGTAAGGCAAAGATTACACGATGGCTGAGTGCAACCGAAAACAAATATTAACTCTCAAATAAAAAAATTCTAAATTACAACAAACCTCGCCATTAATTTATGAATAATTAATTCGTGAGGTTATTTTTAGAAATGGTGTCATTTGGAACCTGTTCAAATATGCCCAGAGCAAGTACTGGCAGTGATGTGTAGCATATGTTGTACAACGATATGAAGGCCTCATCGTATAGAGTCTGTTGTTGTTGTTGATTACGTTGTTGTTTATATTTTTAGGAATAAGACTTCAATGTTTAAAAAAATTTTAATTTGATACTTCGAGATAAAAAAAATGTTTATAATGAAAACACTGTCCTACTCGGTACTACACTGCACTTTTAAGTAAACAAATTCGTCAAATTATCTCACACACATACACACACGCAGCTACACACACAAACAAATACACACACACACAAACAAACATACACACACACACACAGCAACAAACTCCACACAAACCTGAGCAGAGAACCCGCAGAAAAATGCATACCAGACGTGGCAAAATGTGAACGCAAAATTTTTGTAGAAGAAGTAACTGAGGAATTTGCACATCCTTAAATAGGACCACCTGCCGTGAACCAGCAGCAACCTTTCCAGGTATCGAAACTGGGCGAGTGAGAAGTCGCTAGCTAAGACAGCTTGCATACCCTCTTGGCCACTCAGACCGACACCTATGTGAGCAGCTGGGAGGCGAACATGATGAGTGAGAATTTGAAATGTGTGTGTGTGTGTGTGTGTGTGCTGGGTGTGTGAGTGCGTGCGTGTGTAACTGCAACAACGTTATAACAGCGACATCAAGACTAACTCCTAATCATGCTGACGTCATTGGCGCCATCGCCGATAGCCAGTGTAATTGTTTTCTTTTTTTTCTTGATCAGGTCGACCACCATGGCCTTCTGTAGGGGGGTCACTCGGCAGCAGATGACAGTCGAGCAGGAGCACCCGAGCTCGCAGAACATGTCTTCCAAGTCACTTTCTAACATGTACAACTGTGTGCACGTGTGTGCGTTTGATTTGTATGTGGAATTTGTATGCTTTCTTGAATGAATGAATGAGCGAATGAATGAATGAATGAATGAATGAAGGAATGAATGAATGAAGAAATGAAAGGAGAAATAAAAAAAAAAGAGTAACCAGACTGGCTCCACTGATGACGAGAGCGAAGGCGCCGAGTGAGGAGGACAGACCATCCTCCATCTCTGCGGCTATCAAAGTAGGAAAACAAACTGGTTCAGAAATTGGCAAATAGCATTTTATACTAAGAACATTGTAATAATTATGAAAAATATATAAAAACAATTGCACGTGTAATGAAAAAACGTTACAGCGAGCAAGCAAGCAGTAGAAACACCTCCCCACCTTTCCGACTCTTCTCTTTCTTCTTCTCGTCGTCAGCCTTCGACTTCTTCAACAGAGCCTCTCTCTTTCCCCTCTCATCATCTTCCCTACTTTCGAACTTCACAGCTGCACCCGCAACTGCAAGATCTGGGACCCTAGAAGAAGGAGACGAATTAGCAGAAAATAAACCCACAAAACTCATACTAGATAAATTAGCGGTAGCCGAATTCTTAGCAGGAGCGTTCAAAACATCTTTATTCTTAGCAGTCACGTTCCCAGAAACAGCTGAACTTCCAGCTTTTGAGCTCAAAGCTGATGAACTGCCAGCCGGAGCTAAAGGGGCAGCTGATTTTGAGAATGTAATCCGGTTCCTGGCGCAGTAATTTTGCACAATTTTCAACTTATCCTCGACCGTCTTCACGGTGGCTTGCCTCGTTTCCTCGTCGACGATGAACACGTCCTCCATCTCGTCCTTCAAGAGGCCGCAACTGTAGCCGATGTTCACTGCAGTCTCTGCACGGCATCAACAATAATTATAATAACAATCATTATTATTATTATTATTATTGCAGCAATAATATAATAATAATAATAATAACAACAACATCAACGACTGACCAATCTTATCGCCAGTGAGTAGCCAGAACTTCATGTTGGCGGCCACCAGGTTGTTGATGGTCTGTGAGACACCGTCCTGCAGCTTGTCCTCGATGGCTGTGGCTCCTATCAGGACCATGCCCCGCTCTATCTCCTCGTACACCTCCTCCAACTTTTCGGCTCTGTTCACCAGTGCTACGCTGTTTTGGTCATCATCATCGTCGTCGTCATCATCGTCCTCTTCCTCATCATCATCATCATCGTTATCACCACTATCATCATCATCAACAACAACAACAATAATAATAATAAGAAGAAGAAAAAAATAATAAACATAAGTAATAAACCTGGCTTTGTGATATTTATGAACCCATTGTTGATAGAAAAACGGATCTATCTCTTTGAAGGCACAAACTAATGTTCTCAGACCATTCTGTGCAAACAACTGTACGTACGTACGTATGTTTGTGTATGTATGTTTGTGTGTGTATGTATGTATTGCATGTATGTATGTATGTATGTATTGCATGTATGTATGTATGTTTGTTTGTATGTATGTATGTATGTTGGATGTTTGTATGTATATATGTTTGTTTGTATGTATGTATGTGTGTACGTATGTATGAATGAATGAATGAAGGAATAATCGAGTAAACAAACAAATCAATCAATCAATCAATCTTCGTTTTGCGTCCAGAGACCCGGTTTCCCGAGGTAGGACGAGTAAACAAACAAACAGGCCAACAAACGAACGAACGAACGAACAAAAGAACGAATTGAAACATTTAAAACAATAGCAACAGACATTCAAGTGATTGTTAGTCTCGGTCATAAGAGCATGCGACTTCTTATCCAGTAGTTTGAAAACAGTTGAATCAGCCCCTTTGCAGTACAGAGTTATCCTGTTGTCTTTCTTCAATATAACCTACGTATGTGCGTATGTTTGTGTGTGTGTGTGTGTGTGTGTGTGTGTGCCAGGCTTCGTCCATTCATGTGTCTGTATGTTTGTCTGTCTGTGTGTCTATCTGTCTGTCTGTGTGTCTGTCTACTATTCTTTTGTTTCGATTGATTGATTGATAGATAGATAAACAGAAAGATGGATGGAAAAATTGACTGATAGATGGGACGGACGAAATAAATGAACGGACGAACGAACGAACGAACAAACGAATGCACTAACAGACATTCGTTTCCGTTCGTTAGTGAAGTCGAGGATGACGAGAAGGTCATGTATCTCTGTCCTGCCCATCACCTCAACCGTTATGGAGTTCATCGATCGATCCTGATAATGATGTTTGTAATAATAATAATAATAATAATAATAATAATAATAATAATAATAATAATAATAATAATAATAATAATAATAATAATAATAATAGATGATGATTTTGTAGATGGTAATACTGATGATGATGATGTCATTCTTACTTTGAAGACGAAACCGAAATTCCTGGCGGCGGAAACTAGCGCACCCTCATCAGGCGACTGTGCTTTGTATTCCAAGTTACCTGAGAGAGACAATTTCAAAACTGCCAATCAACCAACCGATCAATCGATCAACCATTATATCAATCAACCAATATATCAATCAACTAATCAGTTAACCAACCAACCAGCCAGCCAAAGAACCAGCCAACCAATCAATCAGTTAACCAACCACACAATGAGCCAATCAACCAAGCACCGAACCTGAAACAGTGTCCGGCATGACAGTGTGACATAAGGAGAGCAGACGGAAAAACATGTGTACGTGAGGATTCCCGCGTTTCACTTGCTCCCAGAGATCCTGGTCGTAGAACTTGAACGACGGCTCGTACATGGGATTGTCTGAAAAATCTACTCGTCTGCCTTTTTGCTGATACGGATTCAAAAAATATTTTACGATTGATTGATTGGTGGATTGATTGATTGGTAGATTGATTGATTGATTGGTGGATTGTTGGATTGATTGGTGGATTGTTGGATTGATTGGTGGATTGTTGGATTGATTGTTGGATTGTTGGATTGATTGGTGGATTGTTGGATTGATTGTTGGATTGTTGGATTGATTGGTGGATTGTTGGATTGATTGGTGGATTGTTGGATTGATTGGTGGATTGTTGGATTGATTGGTGGATTGTTGGATTGATTGGTTGGCTGATGGGAATGATGAAATGATGGTGATAAAATGATGAAAGAATAATGACCTCTTTAAGCTTAGGATCGTCAGACGAATGACCGTACTTAATACCATTGATGGAACATTTGAGGAATGCCATTATGTTCTGTGTGTCAATGGCCAGGCCATGTTTAGTTAGTAGTTGTAAACCAATAAATCAAAAAATCATCTATCCAAGAATAATTAAAACTCTCAATCCATCCTTCAATCCATCCTTCAATCAATCAATCCTTCAATCAATCAATCCTTCAACCAATCAATCAATCAATCAATCAACCTACCAACCAACCATTCAACGGACACACGCAAACATACCTGAGTTAAGGTACCGGTCTTATCGGAAAATATAAACCGGATCTGACCAAGTTCTTCGTTGAGGGTAGTAGTTCGGGATTTGGCGGGAATATCCAGCGGTTTGTAGTACATCTCTTTATCCCAGTTTATCCACCAGCTGTGTCCGAATCTTATCATCTCCACGCTATCGGCGTCCAAAGAATTAAAAAATTAAAAATAAAAAACATTAACAAACTGATTAGACCATTTCACAAAATTCATCAACCAATTACGATCAACCGACCGATCACAACCGGCCAATCACAACTAACCAAACTAATGTCAAATTAAAACTAGCCATTCACTACTAACCAATCAAATCAACTCAACCAAAACTAGCAGCCCACCAGCCTAACCTACCTAACGTACAGCGAGATTGGTACCAGCGTGTTGAGGACAATGAAGTAGGAGAGAAAGACAAGAAGGGCCGACACCGTGACCCCGTATGTCCTGTTCGGGTTCAATTTCGATGACGGTGATGACACGAGCCACGATGACGACGAAGACGACAAGGATGAATTCGATGATGGATTCGATGATGGTGGGGATGGTGGTGGATTATTTGTGAGGAAACTTCCCGGAATGAAGGACTCCCAGGGGAGGAAGTGCTGGAACTGATAGCCCAGCTTCAGTTCCCAGATGCCGCAACCAATCGAACAGAAGGCACAGATTAGGAAGAGGAAGATGAAAATCTGTGTCATTAAGTGAGTGAGTGAGTGAATAAATGAGTGAATGAATGAAGCACAAGTAAGCGAAGGAACGAACAAATAAAGAAATAGAACCTAGCTAACCAGCCAAGCAGCCAACTAACCCCTATGATGAGCTTGTTGAGAAGTTTATCGATGTTGGTTCTCTTGAAAGTGCCCTTGCCACTATTCATCATCAGCTTCGTGTCCTTCCCGGCAAACACCACCAGTCCGAAGCACCATTCCGTGTTTCGGAGGATGCAACCGCGGAGGAGAAGCTGAGGAAGATGATGAAGATGGTAATGAAGATGGTGATGAAGATGGTGATGACGACGAAGATGCTGACGTAAACGATTAAAACATTAAATATCAACCGTGACCAACGTAAGAGTAACGATTATTATTATCTATCAGGGAGGTAACAAACAAGACTGACGTTATTGTTACTGAGAGAGTATGATTCGTCGTCGTAATATAAGACCCCTTCAAAGGTATTCAAATTGTTATTCGGCGACTCGCATTCGATTAGGCCTGTGAAAATTACGAACGTGAAAACACATTACACAAAGTCTGCCTGTGTGTGTGCGTGTGTGTGTGTGCGTGTGTGTGTGTGTGCGTGTGTGTGTGCGTGTGGGCGAGTGTATTACCGTCAAATTCAGACATCTGTTCCAGGTTACTTTCCATTTTGCCAGTGACGGCCAACGCCTGCCTGACTTTCAGGTTGGTTTCGCTATTTTTTAAATCGGAAATTATTAACATTCAATTCATTCTGATCTCATTTTGAAGAATGAAAATGACAAAAAAGAAATAACACGAAAAATTATTTGCGATCTTATTTTTAATAATTAGGTAATAATGATTGTTTGATTTTGATTTTTCTTATCGAATAAATTAAATTTCTACGTCGAAAAGTTAATATTTAAGAGGAAAAATTATGACTTTTTTTTACAACAAACGAATAGAAATTTAGTAATAAAAACAAGTATGCGTGTTGTTTGTTTTCCAAAATAAACAAAAAAATAAATAAACAAATAAAAAATTAAATAAAAATAAATAAAAACAATAAAAATAACCTCACCCGTCAAGTTCAGCTGTCTCCACGTAGCATAAGCTGTTTGGCTCGCTTGAGGATAGAATCAACAAGTCGGCCTATAATAATAATATATATTATCATTCATAATTATTTAATATTAATTATTAATAATAGTTATTATGTTGAATATTTTTTAAAATGAACGAACGAAAAAAAAATGAATGAATGAACTTTTAACGTTCTCACTGGTTACAACATCTGTGTACTATAAATTTAAATGGGCACTCCGCAACTCATGAACTTGTGTTTGAATAATTTTTAAAATAATAACAATAATAATAATAATTATTATTATTATTATTACCATTATTATTGCTATTTATTATTATTATTATTATTTTCATCTGGCAAAGTTTAAAAAACAAATCGATAAATGTATTAGCATTCATAAATATACATACATATCCCAGCATAACATGACGCCATTCTCATTGTTGTTGTTTTGGTTCGGTTCTATTTTTTCTTAACTTTTCTAATATTATTTTTTCAACAACAACAATAACAATAATAATAATAATAGTTATTATTATTTATCTATTTATTTGTTTTTATATTTCCTATAAATTTTTTATAAACTCCGAGCGCGACTGGTTATTATCAACTACTCTCCAACAGACCAGACGAATTATAAAAAAAAATTATTTCTGACTTTTGAGGCCACTCACATAGTCATCGTCATCAGCATCATCTTCGTTAGCATTATACACTTATACACGTACACACACATACACACAACTAACGAAACGAACGAATGGATGAATGAATGAACGAACGAATGACAAAAACGGAAAACACACACACAAACATTCTCTTACATAGACAAACACACAACACACACACTCTTACCTAGACAAGCACACGCACACAAACACACTCTTACACACACAAACACACACACATACAGACACAGAAAGACACACAAACACACAGTAACGAATTGGTTATTCTCTAGTTTGATGATGTCCCCGACAACAACACGACGCCATCTTTCCTCAACCAACTTGCCACCACTGGAAAGCACCCATGTCGACCGGTTGTTAACTTTGTTGTCGCTCTTATGACGTTGCTATGGTGATGGTGGTGAATTGTTTAGTGGACAAATGATGAAGACGATGACGAAAATGAATAGGTAAATGATGATGAAGACGATGACGAAGATGATGATGAAGACGATGATGATGATGACGATGAAGAAGATGATGATGAAGACGATGATGATGATGACGATGAAGAAGATGATGATGAAGACGATGATGATGATGACGATGAAGAAGATGATGATGAAGACGATGATGATGATGACGATGAAGAAGATGATGAGTAGATTATGATGAAGACGATGATGATGATGAAGAAGATGATGATGAAGACGATGACGAAGATGATGAGTAGATGATAATGAAGACGATGACGAAGATGAACGGTGATGTTGAATTTTTTTTAAAGACAAAATTATGGCAAAGGTGAACATGATGGCAAGTAAATGATGATAGACATAACTAACACAGACATACAAAAAATACATTCACACATACATACACACACACGCACGCACACACGTACACACCACACACACACGTACGCACGCACGCACGCACACGCACTTACCCAATCATCAACGGCATCTTTTATAGCACTGATAGTCAGGACAGCAATCAGTGGGATGATGGTTGTCAGTGGAGTGAGGGAAGAAATTTGGGGGATCAACTGTCATTTTTTTTTATTCATTTATTTGTTTATTCATTCATTTTGTCATTCATCCATTCACTTACTCATTCAATTATCCATTCATAGTTAGTTCAATCATTCATCTGTTCAGCCATTCACTCATTCATTCATCGTTTCATTCATTCATCCATCGTTTTACTCATTCATTCATTCATCGTTTCACTCATTCATTCATTCACTCCACTCATTCATACATTCACTCCACTCATTCATTCACTCCACTCAGCATACATATATACAGACACACATACATATACACACACACACACACACACACACACACAAACAAGTACTTACCTGCAGAACGAGCAGTATTAGAAAATAAAAGTTTGCAATCCTCTGGAACTGCTCGAACAAATTCTTCGGTATGAATGTTATAACACTGTACTTGGACGTTGAGATGTAATTATTCTATCATTGGGGAAGGGATGGAAGTAATAATTTATTATTATTATTATAATTATAATAATAATAATTATTATTATTATAATAATAATAATTATTATTATTATGGAAATTATGGTGAAGATAAAGGATAGTTAGAACAGAGCACGATCTTGAAAAGAGCGCAATAGAACTTAATTTAAAACCCCCAAATTCACCATTTAAAAGTGCGCTAAACTCTGAAAATTGAAACAACCACTGATGAAAGAAATAAAAAACACGTCCACCTGATGACCATCCAATCCAAAGTATCGGTATCGAGTACCGATTATTTTTCTATCTTAAAAAACAGAACCGGCGCTATCAAATTCGATACTCCCCATCAAAAATGTCGCGGATAGCAAAGCCAAAAAAGTTAAAAAAAAAACCGCCAATATATTTGCGACACTCCCATACATAACATCAACCAGCCTGGCAGTTTAATATGCATGTGTGTACTTTACTTGGCAATAAAAAGAAAGAACAACATCAACAATAATACTAACAACAACAGCAACAACAACAAAAACATCATCAGACACGACAAATAATAATAATAATATCAATAAAGCTGATCAGTGCAATGTTATCAGAAACCGTTTGTTGCTAATTTAACACACACATTTGTAAACCTACACACACTTACACATACACATACACACACACACACACACACACACACACACACACACACACACACACACACACACACACACACATACATGATGATGATGTTGAACGAACTTACGAGCGAACGAACGAACAAAACAAACGAATAAACCAAAAGAAGAAATTAATTTCTCAAAAGAGTTCCAGCCATTTGAATGTTGAATCATTTAATTACTATTAAGAAATTAAATAAACAGGTTGTTGTACTGAAATCTTTATATAATTTATTCTAGGATGGCGATAACCACAATGATGATGACAATGATGACGATGGTGGTGATGACGATGATGGTGGTGATGATGATGGTGATGATGGTGGTGATGATGGTGGTGGTGATGATGGTGGTGATGATGGTGGTGATGATGGTGGTGATGATGGTGGTGATGATGATGGTGGTGATGATGGTGGTGATGATGGTGGTGGTGATGGTGGTGATGATGAAGGCAACGATGATTAAGGCGATGATGAAGATGATTAAAGTAAGAGCGGAGATGACGATGATAGATTTTCATTCATCATCATCATCATCATCAAAGGTACGAATAAAAGAGCAAATAAGTAAGTTACATAACTAATGATAGTTCAATAAACTAGAAGGTTTAATGACCCAGAAATTAAACAAGTTGAATGGATGGATGGATGGATGGCGAGATGATGAATGAAATAATTAATTAATGAATAATGGAATGAATGAATGAGTGAAAAATTAAATTAATGAATGAAAGAGTTAACAAATGAATGAACGAATGAATGAATAATAAAAAATATGAAAAAATTCATACTGCATGAACGAATGAATGAATAGATGGGTAAAAAAATGAATGAATGAATGAATGAATTGATGAATGGATGAATGAACGAATGAATGAATGAATTGATGAATGGATGGATGAATGAACGAATGAATGAACAAACTAACGAACGAACGAATGAACCCAAACGAATTTGAACCCTGATATGATCAGGTAAGCATGTTCTAGAAGACCTGTTAGAACGTAGCAGAATAAACAGAACACCAGTCTTAAGCGTTATGTCTTATCTCAAATGTGTCTGCAATGAATGTGTACATGTGTGTGTGTATGTGCGTGTGTGTGTGTGTGTGTGCGTGTGTGGCTGAGCGTCCGTTCCAGAAAACGCAATTGCGTGTTAGAGAATCAGCTCTCTAAAAACTGTGCGATTAAATGGGACGAATGGAAAAAAAATTGATTTTTTTTTCTGACAGAGTGAATGAATGAGTGGATGAATGAACGAATGAATGAATGAATGAAAGAATGAATGAATGAACGAATGAATGAATGAGTGAATGGATAGATAAAGAAATAAAAAGAGTGTACGAAAGAATCAATTAATCAAACAGGTAAGTAATTAAGTGATTAACTGATTATTATTGCTAAATCAGTAGCAGTGATAAGAGCAGTTAACGAAAAAATTAATAAACTAATAATATAATAATAATAATACATAATAATAATTATAAATAATAAATAACCACGACAACAACGATAGATAATGATGATAGAAATTGACTGTTGAGAGCCAATTTGAGATAGGAAGCAATTTTTAAATTTATAACTTTTCAATATTTCCAACTGCTTTTGTCATTAAATGAAACTAATTTAATGCTATACTTGTATGTATGTTTGTATGCGCATTTGTTTGTTTGTTTATATGAATGTGCTTGTATGCTTGCTTTATGTACGTATGTATTTAAGCATGTACATATGTATGTGTGTATGTATGTATGTATGTATGTATGTGTGTGTGTGTGTGTGTATGTATGTATGTATGTATGTATGTATGTATGTATGTATGTATGTATGTATGTATGTATGTATGTATGTATGTATGTATGTATTTATTTATTTATTATTTATTTATTTATTTCCAAGACCTTGGACCAGAAGCCTACAGTAGGCTTGTATGGTCTGGTCAAAAACAAAAATCAAACAGAAATAATCAAATCAAGTAAGTTACAGAAAATGATAAATCTGTCAATCCATCACAAAGTAAATTAAAATGTTACAAAACAATGAAGAAAAGAAAAAGAAATAAATTATGAGAAAAAATTAGATAATAACAACCTAATAACCTTTTTCTTAAACATTCCCAAACAAATCCCCGACAGCGGATTAAATGGAAGTAACTCCCACAATTTTACACCAAAGTTCAATACAAAATTTGAATGTAATACAGTATGAGACATGGTAGTACGATAGATCGGGGTATGGCGCAGAACCCAAACACCCGCTGCATAAGAAGTCAGCAAACATGAGTGGAACTGAGGATACATATTTAAAGCAATTAACTTAAAAAAAAATATTAAAATTCTTAAAACATACAATTGATTAATTGTTAATAAACCAGACTGTTAAAAATGTGATGAGATATGATCAAATTTTTTTAAACCATAATAAATTCTAATGAAAAAATATTGGCAACCAATTAATATTGACATATGACATTTAACCTGACGACCCCAAATAATAATACCATATATAAAATAAGGATATATAAGAGAATAATAAAGACTAATAAGAATATGCCTGGGCAACAAAAACTTTAATTTATATATAACACCAAGGTTTTTGGAAATTTTTTTGAAATATATATAATATGGTCTTTCCAATTTAAATTACTAGTAATAATAATACCCAAAAATTTAATCATATCGACTCTATTTATAGGACAGTTATTATACATTATTGAAAAAAAATGCGAATTAGTCACGATTTTAGGTCCAATCAAAATAACATTAGTTTTAGATATATTAATTTTCAAATAGTTAAAAGTCATCCATCGAGATAAATGAACAAGTTCAATATTCAAAAGAGTTTCGACTTCATGCACCGAATTACCACTTGCCAAGATTGTTGTATCGTCTGCATACATAACAAATTTAAGGGATGAGCTAATATTTGTTAAATCATTGATAAAAATGTTGAAGAAAAGTGGACCAAGTATGGATCCTTGCGGCACTCCGCTACCTATTGGCAACAAATTAGATATAACACCTCTGTTGATTACATATTGATGTCGATCTATTAAATAGCTCCGACACCAACTCCAGGCTAAACCACGAATTCCATAATGATAAAGTTTTTTTAACAACAAGTCGTGATTGATAGAATCAAATGCTTTCGAAATATCAATAAAAATATCCATAGTTATTAATTTTTGATCGATGTTTTTAGTTATGAATTGCATTACGTCCAAAACCGCTAATTCGGTGGAGCAGTCTTTTTTAAATCCATATTGACATGGAAATAGAAAACCACACTCATCAAAAAATTTTGATATTTTTGAATGCAACATTTTTTCCAAAATTTTGGAGATTGATGATACCAAAGATATAGGACGGTAGTTAGAAACAAGATCAGTTTGACCACTTTTTTGAATTGAAATAACTTTTGTTATTTTTAGACACTTAGGAAAAATCCCTGTTGTAAATGATAAATTGATACAAAATGTTAAAGGTTCCAAAAATGTATGTATGTATGTATGTATGTATGTATGTATGTATGTATGTATGTATGTATGTATGTATGTATGTATGCATGTATGTATGTATGTATGTATGTATGTGTTAAAACCAAATCATTGACGAATGACACCAAAAGCCAAGCGTCTGACTAAATTTGATTTTATTTGCTATAACGTCACTCAACCCCGTCGGCATTCAACTCCACATTTTCCAACACACAGACGCGCAAAAACCGCTGCAGAATGCACGAGATATTATTCATAGCAAAAAAATATTCCCTACTATCGCCTGACCTAATACTGATATTTTTACAAATCCGATTGAAAAACCCGGAGGTGTTACGGTCCATGGGGCCGAGGACCTCGATACAAATTGTATGTATGTATGTATGTATGTATGTAGGTATGTATGTATGTATGCATGCTTGTTTGCTTAATAATTCTTATAAAAAATTATGATGGATTACAAAGCAATGGTTATTACCTAAATGATGATACCACTAATACAACATATTTTAAGATGACAATGTCGATGATGTTATATTGATGATGACAAATCTTATAGCTATAGTATGTAATAAAAGCTATGGTTTCCCAAAATGATGGTGATGATAATGATGGAAAAATCATGATAATGATGACGACGATGGTTACCATCATCATCAGTTGTCTTAACTGATGATGATGATGACGAAAATCTTATGAATAAATTTGCATAGATTAACATTTATAATTTAAAGTTTACAGACTGTGTATTTGAATTCGGCATTGTAGAGTTGATCATTCGCCTTTATCTTCCTATGTGGAGCTTCAACTGGAAATATAATTAACATTAACGTAATATGATCATAAAATAATAATAAAATAATACTTATTATAGACTAATATTATCTGATAATCTACTTCAATAATAATATGCCCAAGTGTGTTCTAATACTGCTAGTTTAATTAGTACCAAGGCTTGTGTAAGAGAATAGGTAATGGCATTTAGATTAAATTATAAAATAAAATGATAGAGTATATAATTATATATATATATATATATATATACCATGAATCATAACAGTGCTATAACTGCGCTCCTTAGTGAAAAATAATCAATCCCAGATAAAACTAAAGAAGTAACAAGAAGAAGGATACTTTATCATAAATTTTATAAAAAAATAATTATTTGATAAAAATAAAATAAGTAAATAACACTTGAAATTAATAAAATCTTTGATTAACTAGATTAACATTAAAAGTTGGAAATTAAGAGAAAAAAGCTAACTATTTTTTGGTCCACTTTTCTTTCTTTTAAAACAACCCCCCATACTGATCTGGTCTTGAGATCTAAATTAGGGAATTCACTAAACTAAACTTATTTTATTTTTAATTTTATACTTAAAATTACAAATAAGAGCTTTCGTTCTTTTCTTCAATTTTAAATACTTGAAATACTTTATTCATTTATTGTTGATTTTATATTTTGATTTATCTAACCTAATTTAGTTACCTAATTACAATTATTAATTTATTTTATTATTAATTTAACTTTTAGATTATTAAAAACTGACAACTGGCTAAATTTTGAATTCTGGTTCAACCCATCAGTTAGGCAGACAGGCAGGTAGGATTAGCTAGTTAGCCATTGTTAACTAAGTTAAAACTAACTTACTTACTTACTAAACAACTGAACTGTCAACAATTAACATGGAGAAGTTGCAGTTTAGTAAACCATGTCTGATTTTTATTATTAGATTAGGATTAGGATTAGTTAGAAGAGTTTGGAAGAGATCAATTCATGCAGTTTTATTTTTATAAAATTTAAAAACATTTATTAAAATAATAATAAAACTGTTTAAATTTTTAGTAGAAAACTATTTTGGCAATGGGAAAAATATATTAATTCTCAATTTTCAATTTTTGTGTCTAAAATTCAACCTATTTTAAATTTAAATTTTAAAGAAACGTTAATTAAACTTATCTCAGTTTATTTTATTTATTAACTTTATATATTCATTTATTTTTTATTATTAATTAAAAAAAAATAAATTTAGATTTTAGATTTAGTTTTAGTTAGATTTAATTAAAACGATTTAAAATTTAAAGACAAACTAATTAGAAAAACCCGTAAACCCGTGAAAAAACATTTAAATAAAATACAGGTGGAAAATTTAGACAAAACTCCCATCTAGTATTTTTAATGAATAAAATGTTGAATTTAAAACACAAATATTTACATTATATATACATATACGTATATATATATATATATATATAAGTATGGTATTATACATATATACATGTATAATGTTTAAATGTTAAGAGTGTAGAAATAAAAAATTTCTGGACTATATTGCTTATCATTATACTTTTAAAAATTTAATTTTTTAATGTTTATTTCACATTTTATTGATAATTTAATGATAATTCTGTATGTTTCTAGTGTTAGTTTTGTTGAAATAATTATTAAAATGTGCTCTCGTTCGGGTTTTTGTAGAGATTTTCACTGAAGTTATGTAGCAGTCTAATATTGAACTATAGTAAGGTGAATCATCGTGACATCACGCACTTAGAAACTTCAAGTAAGGATTATACTTGAATGATTTCTGAAGCAAATATTATAAAAAAAATTGAGACATATTCCTAGAATAATGATCTCTTGTGTTAAAATATATTAAATTTCGAAAAAAGAGAGATGAAGATGAATGAATATACACCTGCTGCGTCTTATTGAACTTTGTATGCTTTCTTGCATAAAAATACCTCTACAAAATAGTAAAATACAAATAAATTATACCCCAACAAAACAGTATAACTACAAAATTCATCGATGAGATCACCACACTGTTACTTTTAAAATAAAAAGTGTTCATGATATTTCATTATTTGTTTGAAAAATAGCAGTTTGATTGATGAGTCTATTATCACTGTAATTATAACTGTTTCGCACATTCAGGCATGATTGATTGATTTATACATATTTATTAGGTATGTTGATGTATTTATGTACGCATATATCTACGTGTATGTATGTATGTCTGTTTGTGTACATTTGTGTGTATACTACAACTGTGTGTGTACAATTAGTTGTACACAGCTGAAATAATGACCACGGTCAAGACAACAATGTCAGTACGTTAGCTCGTTTATATGTGTAGGAGTGTGTGTGTGTGTGTCGCTTGTATACAAATACTTCTATGCATGTATAGTATAGCGTCAATTGCTTGTATATATATATATATATATGTGTGTGTGTGTGTGTGTGTGTGTGTGTGTGTGTGTGTGTGTGTGTGTGTGTGTGTGTGTGTGTATGTACTATACATAGGTTTATATACATTTTTGTTGTACACAGCTCCATGCGTACGCTTCTTTTTCCAACGGGAAACCGCATAAATTTTCTGTTCCAGTTTTACGCGGAGTGAGATGACGTTTTGTTGACGTCATCATCATCATCGTCGTCTCACATTTGTACTTTGATATTTATAGTGCTGTATTAGTGTTATAGTATTTCAAAGATGTTGTTGATGTTAGAATTTGAACATTAGGATATGTATCTTAACAGTAGAATATGTATCAAAGAGTAGAATATGTATCAAAGAGTAAGATATGTATCAAAGAGTAAGATATGTATCAAAAAGTAGAATATGTATCAAAGAGTAGAATATGTATCAAAGAGTAGAATATGTATCAAATAGTAGAATAGGTATCAAACATTAAGATATATATCAAACCGTAGAATATGTACCAACTGTTTGGTCAAATAACAATCTAAAAGGGATGAATAAATGAATTAGATTGATTCATTGAGACTAAGAGCGATTTACAAGCGTTCATATCAAACAAATAAAATAAATTATCAACACGAAATTAACTTCTTATCTGGATATTGGAAACAGCATTTGAATGAATACAGAGTCTCAGGTAAAGCAAGTATTCTCTCCAACACAGCATCTTCAACAACAACATCTTCATCAGCAGCAGCAGCAACAACAAGATTTGCAACAACAACAACAACAACAACAACAACAACAGCAACAATACGTTCCGTTCAAGTTGTCCTATGTCGATTTTCCACCGAGGTGTGCTGGGGCTGGTAATGTCATTTGCAGCCCGGATTACGAAAGATTTGAGTTAGTCAACCAATCAATTAATCAACCATTTAATTATTAACCTATTAATCAATCAATCAATCAAACACACACACACACACACACACTTTCATACCTATATTACACTCCATCAACCGTCATGTAACAGTTCCCTACTAAAAAAAGCCAACGAATGGCTAAAAACGCACAGCAACTTGAAGGTCAAAGTTTGTGAGAGTGTAGAGGTCAAAGGTCGTTACGATGGGGTCGTCGACACGAACAAGAGCTGCTTCTTTGAGGCTGATCATAGCAAGAGAAGGATGAGGAATCTATTTATCAGGGTCCTAAGGTTGTTATTGTTGTTGTTGTTGTTGTTGTTGTTGAGATATTTTGTTCATTAAAAAGTATATAATTTAAATCTGTCTAAAAGATAAAAATCGTATTTTCAAAGGCTGTGGATTGTCCAAAAGGAGCCAACGGATCCAATAGAACCCCAGCAAATCGGTTACATTCGTAAACTGTAATAGCATTATTAGTAATTATAAACAATTATTAAAATAATTTTAACTATAATTAATTTAATTATATTATATTTAATGATAAATTGTTTTTGTGCTTTATCTTTAGGTTACGTTAATGTCATTCCGTCAAGAAACGACTTAGGCGCGTTTGAAAATTTTGGCGACACGGTGAGAAAGTTTAATAGTCATCTCAGGAATAAACCTTTGCCTGGTTAGATCAATCAATCAATCAATTAATAAACCAATTAATCAATCAATTAATCAATCAATCTATCGATCGATCGATCAATCAGTCAATCAACCGGTCAATGAAACAACGAACTAGCAAAACAACAGACCGACCGACCAACTATTCAATCAACAACCACACATTCTTACTCGATTACACAAACATAAAGGTCGCATTTTGAATGTGGAAACGCAAGAGATGAAGTTTCACGAGTGGGGCGTGGGGGTAGATCCGGACGAGAGTTGCTGGGTGGAGAGCGTCAAATTTAACATTTCCTTTCTGGTCATCGTCAGAGTGTTTTTTGAAATTGGACCACCCGCTTATGAGGAAATAGGTCGGCCATTTTTGTTGCTGTTAAATATTTTTAAAAATTTTTAAATTCACACATTTAAAACAAACATCGTTACCAAAAATCAAAAATAACAGGATGCGCGGATTTCGTGCCCAACAATTTGGATCAGGGTTCTCAATTTTCAGTGCCATACTTTGAAAATTTCGAGCAAGTTTTCTCGAAGGCAGCATCGTGGATGAAGCACCAGCGCAACATCAACATAACCAACATGCAGTCAATCGACTACAAGATGAAGAATGACTTTGGTTAGTACTGATGTGGTTGTTGTTGTTGTTGTGTTGTTGTGTTGTTGTTGTTGTTTTGTTGTTGCTGTTGCTGTTGTGGTTGTTGTTGTTGTTTTAGCCCATTTACCGCAACCAACTTTAACAAAAAAAAACAAACAAATAGCATTAACTAACAGACAACAACATACAAACAAACAAACAAACAAACAACAACACAGACGCCAGTGAGTTAGACACACAGCGTTCATTTTTCGTAGAGTCTGGCCGCTACACCACCAAATACCTCAGGATCCTTAGAATTTGCTTCACAAGGTCCTTCAAACAACATCAGTCACAGCAGCCAGCGAAGCAGCAGCATCGCGACAAGCCACCAACACTACAACACCAACACACCTTCCCACAACGACAACATCAAATGCTAC